CCAATCAAGCCTCTAATGAATTCTTCCCATGACAGAAGTGACTGGGGTCAACAATGACTTCCAGAGGTTGCATCAGATGAACTTTATATGGGCTTCACTTCACATGCCCTCTCAGAGAATTTAGACTGCTGTCCACTTACTCAATGCTCTCTTGGCTTTCCCCCAAATCCCCACTGTTACTTTTCCTTAGACTCCATAAGCAACTTATCTTCCTCCCATCCCAGCCATTAAGTCCTTCAACATTTCAATCCCAGCCAACTCTGTTACTCAAAAAACTTTTTTTTTTTTTTTTTTTTTTTGTTTTTGCAAGGGGTGTTTTTTTGAGTTCTATACTAGCACTCACTCTAGAGACCAGGCTGGCCTCGAACTCACAGAGATCCGCCTGCCTGTGCCTCCCGAGTGCTGGGATTAAAGGCATATGCCACTAACACCCGGCTATATTCAAAGAACTTTAATCCTCTGGTGTAAACACAACCTACAAATGGATTTTTCTAGCTCTTACTTCTCTTCCATGCTACACACAAACATTCAACTGCCTACTTAATGATTCACCCCTGGGAAGCTTTAAGGGACATTCAAAATTAAACTCATCACCTACTTCTTGCCATCTAAGTGATACAGAAACCAAGGGTCACCACTGGTAAGTCTTTCTTCCTCAACTACATTCAATCTACCTTTAACTCCTTTCAGTCCAACTCTCAATATCCCTTTATATCAATTTACTTCTATCTCAGGCTAAGTCTTAGAAATTATAATCAGTTCCTGAGCCCTATAACAGCCTTCAGTGGTATCCACTTATTATACTCACTTCAGTCTACTGTCTGCCCTATGCAGAAATGGAATGCCATTTCCAAAAGGCAAACCTGGTTATACCCCTCTTTGCTAAAATTTTTTCAATTTCCTTTCAGAGGGTTATAAATAGGCTATGTGTAGCCAGCCTGTTGGCTGTTCCCCTTCCTTCTTTGGATATTTCTAGTCTACTCGGCTCTATTCTTCTCAGAGATCTTTATATATGCTATTTCCATGGCCTAATGTATAATATTCCTCTTGTCGCACCATTTCCCTGGTGTCCTTGTTAGTTTTTTGTCAACTAGACACAAGGCAGTTATTTGGGAAGAAGAAACTCAACTGAGGAAATTACTCCATCAGATTGCCTATAGGTAAGCCTGTAGAGCATTTTCTTGATTATTGATTAATGTTGGAGGGCCCAGCCCACTGACTGTGGGCAGTGCCACTCTGGGGCAAGTGGTCCTGAGTTGTATAAGAAAGCAGACTAAGCAAGCATTAGGAACAAGCCAGAAAGCAGTGTTCCTCTATGGCTTCTGCTTCAGTTCCTGTCTCCAGGTTACTGCCGACTTCTTGCCCTGACTTACCTCATTGATGAAATGTTACCTGGAAATACAAGACAAAATAAACCCTTTCTTTCCCAAGTTGTTCTTGGTGAGTGTGTTATAACAGCACTAAGATACCTGGATAGGGTAGACAGCCCTGTGTCCTCTCTAGCACCCTCACAGCACCAAGTCCTTACATTGCATTCATCACCTCTGCAACTCTACATATTTGTGTCTGATGAATTTCTATCTTAACAATTGACTACAACTTCAAACCGGGCAAGGGCTATTGTCGTGCAATATTATTTTAAGATGTGTTACATTTGTTTATGCTGTGGAACATTTGTTTAATGATGTAAAGATGTGTTGCATTTTTTATGTTACATTTGTTCAACTCTGTGAAGCTGTGATTCTTTGCCTGTCTAAAACACCTGATGGTCTAATAAAGAGTTGAATGGCCAATAGTGAGGCAGAAGAAAAGATAGGTAGGGCTAGCAGGCAGAGACAATAAATAGGAAAAATCTGGGAAGAGGGGAAGGAGCAAGATAGAACAAGGAGAGGAGGATGTCAGAGGCCAGCCAGCCACAGATTAAGAGTGAAAGTAAGATATACAGAAGTAAGAAAGGAAAATGCCCATGTAAAAGGTAGTAGTGATAATTTAGGTTAAGAAAAGTTGGCAAGAAACAAGCCAAGGCCGGGCATTCATAAGTAAGAATAAGTCTCAGTGTGTGTGATTTATTTGGGAGCTGGGTAGCAGGTCCCCCCAAAGAATAAAGGAGTTAAAGAGCTAAGAGTAAAAAACAACCAACTACAGGCTATATCTATTTTATTCTTTGTTACAGTAACCCAAGAATGTCTCAAATAACTATTTGCTGAACAGATGAAGGAAATGAATAAATGAGAAGAAAATGATGTCTAAAATGCAAGGGAAAGTAGTGTGTTTTAAAGCAAGTAAGATACGAAAGTCTAAATGAGTCACTTCATGTCTAGAAACCTTTGATCCTAAGCAGAAGTATTAAGAGATAAGAACAAACTGCTGGGCAAATGGGCAGAACTAGAAAAAAAAATTATAAGTGAGGTAACCCAAAATCAGAAAGACAAATATATCACTTATAAGTGATACCAGACATAAAGCAAAAGATAACCTGCCTACAATTCAAAACCCCAGAGAAGCTTCAAACCTCTTCCAGATACAGATGGATGCAGATGCAGAAATCCACAACTAACAAATGGGCCGAGCTTCTGGAGTACAATCGAAGTGAGGAGTGAAAATATGAACAGAGTCAACTGTTGGAGATGTTTCTCCCATGATGGAGAAACCCACAGAATCAGCTGACCCAAGCTAGTGACAGATCACTGACTCAGGTCTGACAAATGAGAAACCTGCACAAGGCAGAACTAGACTCCTTAATATAGATAACAATGGTGTGAGTGGGACAATATATGAGGCCACTGGCAATGGATCCAAGATCTAACACTAATGCACAAACTGACTTAGTAGAGCCCATTCTTTATGGAGAGATATTTTGCCCAGCCTAGACACAGGGATTTGGAGGTGCCTTGGTTCTGCCTTAACTAGATGATGGGACAGAATTGTTAGACTTCCTAGGGGAGGCCTTACCCTCTCTGAGGAGCAGATGGGAAGAGGGGGGAGTGAAGGGAGCAGAAGAAGACGAGGGAGGGGGAACTGGGATTGGAATGTAAAAAAGAAATTAATAAAAAAAGAAAGAAAGAAAAAGAACAAACTGCTGGGCATAGTGGCACACACCTTTAATCCCAGAACTCAGGGAGGCAGAAGCAGGTGTATCTCTACCAGTTCGAGGCTACCATGGTCTACAGAGCAAGTACCAGGACAGGACTATTATACTGAGAAACCCTGTCTGGGGGAAAAAAAAACACAGACTACTAACACATTTCAAATGCATCCTCAACCCTTATAGTAGTATAGTTCAAACTATGTTTAATATTTTAGTTCAGCAATATTGGCATATTAGCAAGATCTATTCACTGTTTCCAAAAATTACAAATATTGATGAAAAAGCCTTTTCCCTTAAATATTAAACAGAAGGGACCATTACAAAGAGGACTAAAATTATAGATTACCTTCATCAATGTACCATGGATTTTTGGATTTGGATTGTTGTGAGTCAACAGATGACCCATTTAAGGTATAAAATAATTCAGATCTGCTTCTACTTCCAGGGTCTGAGGTAGATCCTATGGAATAAGAAGAGTTCCTTTTTTTAAAAATCAGTATGTTATAAAAGGCATTTTATAAATAAATTAATATGCATATGGTATTACCAACTGCTTACACAATTAATATACATATACATGTTATTGTTGTCTTCATCTTTAAAAGTTTGGTAAATAGTCACCTGGGCATTGGTGGTGCACACCTTTAATCCCAGCACTCGGGAGACAGAGGCAGAGGCAGCACTCTGTAAGTTCGAGATCAGCCTGGTCTACAAGAGCTAGTTCCAAGACAGTCTCCAAAGTCACAGAGAAATTCTGTCTCAAAAAAACAAAAACAAAAAAGTTTGGTAAATAGTCAATATAGAAGAGAGCAGGAGCAAGTAAAAACCTGTTTACTTTTCTATTAAAGTTCTAAGAAACCATTCTGGTGGGCAATAGGAGGCAGAGGCAAGTAGATCTGAGCCTGGTCTATTGAGCAAGTTCCAGGACACTAAAGATTATACAGAAAAACTGTCCTAATGCTGTGACATTTTAATACATTTTAATTCCTCGTGTTGTGGCCACCCCCCAACCATAAAATTATTTTTATTGCTACTTCATAACTTCATAGTAATTTTGCTATTGCTATGAATTGTAATATAAATATCTGTGTTTTCCAATGGTTTTAAGGGACCCCAGTAAAAGGATCATTGAACCCCCAAAGAGGTCACAACCCAGAGGATGAGAATCCCTGCCATATAAGGACATTTCAGCCAAAAAAAAAAAAAAAAAAAAAAGAACAAACATGCAGCAGTGTTTTAGAGCCTAGATATACACAAAGTTCTTTCACCAAGGTTTGTGAAGTGCATTCTATGATGGTCAAAGAAAAGAAAAACACAACTGCCTAATGATGCACTTCTCAGAATGCATACCATTAAAAAGTAACACATGATTATAATTTCCCTTCATAATCTTCAAATGCTATAATAAAATACAAACTAGGAACAAAATTAAGTTTAAAAAAATCAGGTGTGTGTATGACTCAGTATTAAAGTCCTGGGTTAGTTTGTGTAGGGTGCTAAATTTGATCCCAGTACCAAAAAACAAAACAAACAAACAAACAAAAAATCTACTTCAGTGTCTAGAGCAATAACTAAGTAGTAAAGTACTTGCCTAGCCATGTATAATATATGGTTCTGTTGACTTTGATCCCCAGAATTACAAAAGAAATAATTTAAATTTCTTTTTAGATTTGCTATATAAACATCTTAGAATTTAATTAATACAATTTCTTCTTTTTTGCAGTTTCAGAGGACAGACTCTTTGGAGACCTCTGGAGCAGTGGGCCCTGTGCCCTGGATGGGGATGCATGGAATTATCTGGCCTGTGTTCATCAACGGCTCTGGGAATGCAGTCCACAACACAGGTGACCCATGGCACTTTTGTCCCCTCAGGAGGACGCCAAGTTCAAGTGCCAAGATTGTGAAGTCCAAAGGCAAGAAGCCAGATGACTTAAAGTATGGCATCTCTCAGGGCTGCTTGAGCTGGAGATGACCTCAGATCTCAAGGCACAGCTTCAGGAACTCAACATCACCATGGCCAAGGAAATTGAAGTTCAAAGTGGTCAAAAAGCCATCACAATTTTAGTACCAGTTCCTCAACTGAAATCTTTCCAGCAAATCCAAGTCCCAATAGTTTATGAATTAGAGAAAAAGTTTAATGGGAAGCATGCATTCTTCATTGCTCAGAAAAGGAATCTGCCCAAGTCAACTCAGAAAAGCTGTACAAAAAATAAGCTGTACAAAAAATAAACAGAAGCGCCCGGCAGCTGCACCCTGACAGCAGAGCATGATGCCATCCTTGGGTGCTGACTCTTCACAAATGAAACTGTGGGTAAGAGGATCCACGTGAATGGATGGCAGCAGGCTCATCAAGGTTCATTTAGACTAAGCTCAGCGGAACAAGTGAAGCACCAGTGAAAACTTTTTCTGGTATGTGTAAGAAGCTCATGGGTAAGGATGTTAATTTGTAATTCCCAGAGTTTCAATTGTAAAGAAAGCAAGTAAATAAAGTGTCATAATGTAATAGAAATAATATAATAGAAATAATAAAATATAATAAATAATAATAAAATAATAAATAATATAATATAAATAATAAAATTTCTTAAATTCCTCATGTCTGAAAAAATGAAGCACCTCACAAGTTAAATTTATTGTAGGACAAACTAAACTGGAGATTAATTATGTAAGTCTTGATAACTAGATATAATACAAAAACGCTAAAATTTCTCTTCCAGAAACTTCCCCATAATACATGTAGAGAACACACAATTCTCTTTCTGTTAGCTTCCACTTATCTCATAGGTTTATAGCAGCATTTCTCAACCTGTAGACAGTGACCCCATTGGGAGACACATATCAGACATCCTGCATACCAAATATTTACGACTCATAATAGCAGCAAAATTACAGTTATGAAATAGCAACAACAGTTGGGGGTCACCACAACATGAGGAACTATATTAAAAGGTCACAGCATTATGAAGGTTGAGAATCATTGGCTTATAGGGCAATTATTAAGTAAGAAGAAATGATACCTGCAGCACAAACAGGTATAGACACTTCCCTGCCGCTGTATTAACTACAAAGACACACCTTGTCAGTTATCAGTAGGAATTCCACAACCCATACTGAAGCCAATTGTTTTTCAATTTAAATCAGAAAGTCCTGCACCGAATAGTTTAACTCATACTTTATGTGGCACACCTGTAGACAGCTACTCAGAAAGCTGAGACAGAAGACTATCACCAGAGTCCAGAAGTTTAAAGTCAGCATAGGAAACTTATCAAGACCCTCGTCTGCAAACAAGAAACCTATAGCTTTTTTATATTTGAGAGTATTGAGAGTAGTGATCTTATGGTATCTTTTCTGAATGACATGTGGGTATGTAATTGAGATGGGCTGTGTGTGTGTGTGTGTGTGTGTGTGTGTGTGTGTGAGAGAGAGAGAGAGAGAGAAAGAGAGAGAGAGAGAGAGAGAGAGAGAGAGAGAGAGAGACTTCAAGAGCCATCATCTTGTTGATTTTTAGTTTTCTTCTGAAGATGATCTCCATTGCCCTGAAATTTGCCAAGTAAGATAAAGAACATGCTGGCCTCCAGGTTCCCTCAATATCACAAGTACCTGTTACACATTGCACAGCCCTAGCGGACATCCTAGCTTTTGTCACCTCTTCCCCGACCCTAAATTCCCTCCAGCTCATGGGTTTCCCTACCACCAGCTATCCATTTGTTCTCCATATAAAGGCAAGATTTTTCCTCTGCCTCCACTATTCTCACTTCTCTTACAGATAGCCCTGGTCATGTCCAGTCTGCTGCTCTTTCTCTCTGCTCTGGACTCTTTCAAATGCCCCTGGATGTGTGTGTTTTTCTCTCTATAAACAAGATTTCTCTGTGCCTTTGCTGCCCTGGAATTTGCTTTGTAAACCAGACTGGCCTTGAACTCAGTGCTGGGATTAAAGGTGTGTGCCACCACCTTTAATCTTATCTCACTCTTATCCACAATAAAAACCTCTCCCTACAACTCATGGGGTGGCCATTTCCGTGGTTTCCTTTTTTGTTTTTGTTTTTCAAGGCAGGGTTTCTCTGAAGCTTGAAGCCTGTCCTAGAACTCTGTAGACCAGGCTGGCCTCGAAATCACAGAGATCCACCTGTCTGCCTCCTGAGTGCTGGGATTAACGGCATTCATCATCACCACCTGGCTTTCCACACTTATAATCATGTGCATACCATTTTAGTTTACATAAAATGTCTCAACAAATTATATGTACATATATTTATGCAAATATAATAGCATATAGCTTATTTAACATGAGAAATCAGATTATCATATAAACTACCAAGAATATCATCCATACCTGTAACCTTTGGTTTATTATGACTAGATGAACCTTTGTCACCAACACCTCTTGACATAAAGGCTAGTTTGGGAGGCCTCCTTTCCTGTGTCATGCTATCTGAAACAGTAAACATGCTTTTTAAATATAAACATATATTCATGTGGGAGATAAATAGTTTAGCAATAAATGACAATAACATAAACAAAACAAAGAAATCCTTCCCAACAACAAAAAAGCACAATCTTTATAGTCTTACAGATTCTCTTTAAAGACTCCAAAGTAGTGAAAAGTATTTCTCAGGGGAAAAACATCAACACTGTACTTGAAAATGTAATTTCTACAAGAAAATACACTCCTCAGTTATCAAAATGCTTTAAATTTTGAAGTGAGATGCAGTCAATTTTATTTGATGTTTTAAAAATCTTTAAAGAAAACCTTACTCATAATTTTTGTTGCATTTTCCACATCAAGCATTCATGGAGGGTGTTGAGATAAATAAAGATGGATAATTTATTTATTTTAAAAACCAGAATCTTTATATGATAATGTGTTTAGATAATCTCTAAGCGATATGATATACTAAACTGACTTGATAAAACTTTGTACACTACTCTAGTGAGTATCTTGGATTAATGTATTTAACAGAACACAGTTTGACAAAAGCCTAGGTAGGAGACAGATTAGAGTTAGGAATGCACTCAATAATAAATGTCTCCACTTTTAAACACACATACATTAAGAATAACACAGATATTTATACAAACAAATGCAAAAAGGGAAAACAGAGAATTATGTACAAATCAATAACGAAGAAAGCCAGAGACTCACAACTAAGCACTTTTAAGTTTTACTTCAAAACACAGATAACAAAAAATTTTGGCAAACTTCTTTCAGGTTCAAAGATTTTCCTAAACCTCAAAGTCTGGTAACATTCATCCGACACTCATAAGCACTGATCAAATAAACACAGAAGAGTGAAGGTGAGAAATTTCCCCTCAGGAGGTTCAACAGCACATCCATGAAGTGCAACATGATGCTGAGGAGCCGTACCTGATAAAGCTGTTATCAGCAAAAACAGTATCACCCACAGCGGAATTTTGAGAACAGAAAGAAAAAAAGAGGAAAATTTTTATATTTTAAACACAGAAAAGGTCACTTAAAATAAAAGAGAGAGTCATATTGAATTAATTGTATGTAAGTAATGTTTGGTATCTTTTTTCCATGGTTGGAGAAGGGAGATATATATTAAACTATAATATATGTTAAATACTTCAAAATATGATTAAATGAAATACTGAAATATCATTTCAATTAAAAATATACTGATTAACCATAATTTTTAAATGATATAATGAAAATACTAAAAATATTTTATGACATTACCATTCAGATATCTAAAAATGTCAACTATGATAGTTTTTGTAGAAAAAAATAACTATCCCTGGAGAAAGGTTCCAAATTATAGCATATAAGCTTACTAAAGATAACTAATGCCCACTGTCAATTGTAACTATGAGTATGCAACTCCATTCGAAAACGAACCACATGAATACCACAATATATATTACACAGGCTGGGTCATTGTAACAAATGCAGCCAGGGGTCCTCCCTTTGTAAGCTGTCAACATAGCCAAGCAAACTAAGCCCAAATGGATGAGACATAATGTCAGCTCTGCTAGTGATGCTGGAGGTGAAGCTCCAAGCCCTAGGAGTGTGGAAACTGCAGTTTTTCTTCCACCAAAGTCTTTGGGGGATAGGGTCAAACATCAACTTTGAGGAATTGACCATCCCAACAGGACTCCATGCAGTGAAGGGTTCCACAGCGCATCTTTTTCCCAAAAAAAACAATGATATAACAAGTATTTCTTAGTACTTTGTCAAACCTGTTTATAATCTAAAATCACTTGGATCATAAAGCAAATTTGGCTTTAATGCCTTAAATTTGAAGAGCTTACCAACCTAGGATGTAATGAATAGGGTGAGGAATAAATTTAACAATTTGTAAAATTAAAATTATCATGGTTAAAAATATTCAAGGAAATAAGTCAACCAAATAACACACCAAAATGCACACAGCAACCATATTAACAATAACTAAGGGCTGAAAACAATCTATTCTATAATCAGATAAGTTAACTGAAGAAACAAAATTGTGAGCTGGAGATATAGGTCAGCAGTAGAGCACTTGTCAGTATACTCAAAACCGTGAGTTCAACCCCTGTATCAAAACAAAACAAAACAAAACTTCTAAGGGATCATTTCTAGAACTCACTAAAAAAAATGTTCTATTAATACAATGTACTACTACATAGCAATAAAATGGAGCAAACTACTGTTACACACACAACATGAACACTGTGCTAAACAGAAGAAACAAGACCTCAAGTATACACAGTATACACACATCAGGTCTGCAGTAAAAATGATAAAACTGGGAACTTAGTCATTACTCTTGTTGGTTCTGTAGGAAAAAGAAATGTCTTTTGGAGATTCTTGGGCTGAAGATCCTAACAATAAGAGAGTGAAAAGTTATTCAAACCAAACAAATGTCTATAAATTTGAATAGCCCATTGCATTGAGAGTGGTTGTTTAAAATTATGTATTGCTCAACACCAGCAGTCACAGAGCACAATTCAAACCAAAATGAGAATTCAACGTAAACAAAAAAAAAAAAAATAAGGATATTAGAAAACCTGATGTCAGGCATGCTATGCACAGCAATTATCTAAAAACCTCTGTAAGATTAGATGACTAGTCAGAATAAACATTTTAGACAATTGTATATAATATTTGTATCTGTATGGGAATCTTACAGGTAACATCAGAGTTGCCTGCTTGAGCTCTGGTACTTCAAACCATCCTTCCTTTGGGCTCTGTCTCCCATGACCAGAAGTCCTGCCTATATGGAAAAAGTTCCAGAATAGGCAAACTTGGAAAGACAGAAAGCAGATTCATAGTTGCCAGGATCTGGAGGGAAGTTACTACTGATCATGGGTAACAGGTTTTTGTCTAGGATGATAAAAACAGTCCTTGAGCTAGATGACAGCAATAGATGTACAATATCCTAAATGCACTTAACACTGATTAATTATATTTTAATAGAGTAATGGTGCTGATACATGAATTATATTTCATGTTTTAAAGTTAAGAAAAACTTCCAAATATAGAACAAAGTAAAAGTTGTTGGACTTAATCCCAAAAGTGAATCATGTGAAAAAGATAAGACAGGAAAAAGACTAGGAAAAAATATCTGCAAATCATATTCAACAAAGGGCTAGTGTCTATAACATTTTTTTAATTTACATAATTCAACAATAAAAAAAGCAAATAACCCAATTAGAACCTGGCCAAAACAGATAAAAATATATTTCATTGACGAATATAAACATGACATAAACACATGAAAAGATTTTCAATATCACGAGATATCAAGGAAACAAACTACAATGAACTATTACCACACATTTCTCACAATAACTAATGTAAAAAGCAGCTCTGCTGGTGAGGATGTGGAAAAACTGGATTATTCATATATTTCCAGTGGTCATGTGACACCATACAGTCATTATGTAAAATAGTGTGGCAGTTTCTTTAAAAGCTTACTGTAAATAGTAGTACCCTGTGTGGGTAGATCAAGTTCCTTTCAGAAGCCAAGGGTGTGAACTATTTCTCTTTGAGTTGCTGATCAGAAAGGTGCCTGCAGTGCCGAAATAGCACATGAATTTGCCACTGCTGGTGCCCACCAGATCTAGATGGTAAAACCTTATTGCTGAGGATACCATATGCCCTAGTCACAAAGCATACAGAAATCTAACTGGAACTGAGCTGGGACCTTCCTCTCTGCTAACTACCTCTCATAGTGCAGAAAATGTAATGCAGATCGCTAGGGAAAACTGTCATCAACAGTCTTATTCAGCTATTTACCCTGTGTGCAACAACACTGACTGGCCAGGGAAAACGAGTTCAGTAGCACAACAGTGGCAAGTCTATTTATGGGGTAACCAACAGTTTCTTGATTAGGTCTGGGGCCTACTCTACAGCAGGGAACTCACATCTCATACTGTAAAATCAATCAAAAGCCCATGGGTGAGGAGGTCATAAGACTTAGTGCAGAAATTACTGCTGTTGTTTTGTTAAATGTATATGATGTGACTCATGAATTGCCTTCTAAATAACTTATGTTTATGCCCACGGTGTTGCTGTCAGTTTTGGTCAGAGAAGCTTCCTTTTGCAGTAGTAAAAATACTGAGAAGAAATGACTGCTAAGTGTCCAAACACAAATGGTACATATATATCACCCTTTCCAAGGCTCGGGGAACACTGCAGAAAAAGGGGTGGAAAGAATGTAAGAGCTGGAAGAAGTAGAGAAGCATGTGGAATGCTGCCTTCCAGGTTGTTGTATTCTTGAATTTTACAGCAGCTATGATACCTTGCACAAGATATGCATGAAATTGGCCTGTCATGGAAGGGGAAGAGACTCATGGGGTCTCACTCTTCTTAAGGATTTATACATAGTTAATGGTTGATAGGAGAGAAGGAGAGACATTTTCCCTCAATGGTGTAACCACAGGTAAGGCACACATGCTCCTACAGCAACTCTAATGAAACTCATTAAGTCACATAAAAAGCAAAAATATTAAAGCAAGACTAATTGAGAAGAGAAGGATAACCAGAGGTAAGAGGGGTCAAAGAGGGTAACACGGTGATCAGGGTTGAAATCCATTATGTACATGCATGAAAATATAATGAAAACCATTATCATGTATAATTAATACTGGCTAATAAAATATTGTTTTAAAAGCTTACTAAGGAAATAGCATATGATCTACAAACTACACAAAGGAAAACTACACATTTTCTACCAGAAAAATGCTCATTAAAACATTGCTCATAATGAACCCAACTTAAATGTACTTCAATGGGCACTCATTAAAGGAACAGTACACTAAAAACAAGGATTATCTTAGCAACTAAAAAGGAAAAGACCACTGACCTAACATGGATAAATCTCCAGAGAATTATGCTGAGATAAAGAGTCAATCAAAAACTATGTCCTATATAATTTCACTAACATATAACTTTCCTGAAATTGCAAATGTAGGAAACAAAGAATGACT